TCATGAACCAACATCAGATCACCGTGGAAGAATGTCAAAGAATCAAAAGTGCTGGTCTATTTAAAAAAATAAAAAAAAAAAAAAACTGCATATCAAAAGAAATCACCAACAAAGTAAAAAGAAAACCCACGAATTGGGAAAAGTTATAGCAGACTATGCTTCAGTCAAAGGACTCCTACCTAGAACATACAAAGAATTATTAAGAATTAGATCTCCAAAATTCAAACAGTCCAAAAATGGGCATCTGAGATTAATATACACTTCACATATGAAGAGATACAAATGGCAAATAAATTTATGAGAAATTGTTCAACATCCTTGGTCATTTGAGAAATGCAAATTAAAACAATGCTGAGATACCATGTTAACGCCAGGAAGAATGGCTATCAAGAAGTCAACCAATAACAAATGATAGAGAGACTTGGGGAAAAAGGAACCTTTCTCCACTGTTGGTGGGAGTGCAGGCTGGTACAACCATTGTGGAAATCAGTATGGAGATTCCTCGGAAAGCTAGGATTAAAGGTCCCATTCAAGCTCACTATTCTTCTCCTAGGTTTTTTTCCAAAAAAACTGAAATCATACCACAGCGATATATGTGCACCCATGTCTCTATCAGCATAATTGTCATAGCTAAGTCTTGGAAACAACGCAAATGTCCATCAGCTGAGGAATGGGTAAAAAAGATGTATTTTTACATAGTGGAATATTATTCAGCTATAAAAAAGATAAATTTGAGGCCTTTGTAGATAAATATATGCAGCTATTAACTATATTGGTAAGTGAAATCAGATCTACATGTGAAGACATATTATTTCACTAGTGTGAGAACCTGAAAGAGTAATTAAAATCTAAAAGGTACAGCAGATACTGTGAAAGGAAAGAAACTGTTCAATGGGAAGGAAAAACTGGGATGAAGAAAAGGACAAATGAAAGAAGAGGAAAAGATATATTTGGGGATATATAGATTAGTTTGAATAATCGTCAATCTCTGCTGATCTTTTGAAGGAGGAGTTAATACTTAAAACTTTTACTGATTTTTTTCCTCTTTTGATTTTCTTATAACTTCTTTATTTTTGTTTTGTTTTTTTTAAATGATTCTTAAACATTTATATCTGGTAATCTGAACAACTAGTTTGAAGATAACATCATGTAATACAGCAACCATTGTTGAATTCCTATTACTTCATTTAGTGAAATCTTGTATTGTTTCTAATGCTGGTTTTTTGTTTTTGTTTTTGTTTTTGTTTTTTTAGTTACTGTTTTGTATTTTAAAATAAAAATAGGGGCCGGGTAGATAGCTCAGTGGAATAAGCACTTCCCTGGCAAGTGCAAGGGCCTGAGTTCAATCCCTGGTTCCGCAAAAATAAATAAATAAATAAATAAACAAACAAACAAATAAATAAAAATACAAAATACAAAAAAGATAGTAAGACCTGTGTTAGTCAGAATTGAACTATTGCTCTCTGTCAAGGTCAGGTAAACCTCTTTAGGCATTACTTTTAGAATCATCTACAGAACCCTCCACTCCTGTCAGTGTCAGCTGCCAGAATGGGTCATGGTTTTGGTTAACCATGTCACTTTCTGTGAAAGGATGGGAAACTTCTCTCTTGATGACTCTCCTTTGGTACCCAGTGCACTTGTTGATCTGTCTTCTCGAGTCCGGCAGTCTCCTTGCCCAAGAGATTAGGTGACTCACACTTGTAGGATCCTATAGAAAAGGTTCTCACTGCCTGGGTCTTCTATAACCTTGAAGTGCCAGGACCAAAATATTGACTGTGTTTTTAGCCCTGCTATCTCTCTAGTTTTGTTTTTGCGGTACCAGGGATTGAACTCAGGACCTTACGCTTGCCAGGCAAGTGCTTATTCTACTGAGCTATCTCCCCAGGCCTCTCTCTAGTTCTTTTTTGTTTTGTTTTGTTTTTTTTAAATTTTATTTATTTGTGTGTGTGTGTGTGTGTGTGTGTGTGTGTGTGGCCAGCTCAGCCCACCAGGGGGCAGGGCTGGCTGGCATGTGGTGCTGGGGGATCGAACCGCGGTCCCTGTGTTTTGCCAAGCTTGTTCCAAGTAGGTGCTTTAGACCACTGAGCCATCTCTCCAGCCCCCCTCTCTCTAGTTCTGGTCAGCTAAATTTTAGCTGTTTAATACCCAGCAAAGATCTGTTATATCAGTGTTAGCATATGTAAGTAAAGCACAAATATAAACTGCTTTTTGCTAGCTGTTGTCCCTTGTTAAAGACAAACAGTTTTTGTAAGCTTTGTTAATTTAACCTCCTGAAGTCTCCAGTCAAGGGCTTTAAAGCTAACTTTTGACAAGTTGGAGAAAAACTGGAGTTTCAAGAATCTAAAGAGAAAGAACTCAGACACTGACTGACCTGGGAGCAGTCTGACAGAGGAATATGAACTTGGAAACTAGTCCTGGTCTGGTGTATGATGGAGTCAGTGTTGGAAGAGCATATTATGGAAAGTTTGAGGAGACTGCATGCAGGCCATGTGGCCTGGTCCTGTGCCACTATGAGCAGCAGTGGGCCTTTGAAAGGTGGCCCTGGGTGAGCTCAGCCTGATATAGACCAGCTTCCTCAGAGTCAGGCAGCTACAGTGTGGTAACAGGAGGGAGGGCAGGACTGCACAGCCAGGGGCATGGCACATTTTGGGGAGGGAGGGTCCCAGGACCACATTCTCCTTACCTAGACTGGGCTCAGGCCTGTTTTGCAGGAGGAAGAGTTGTATACTCCAGTGCTGTACACACACTGTGTATGATGCAGAATGGGATGGGGGAGTCAGATGAGGGAAAAGTCAGAGAAATGGAGAGGGGAAGAGGGTGAGGGGAAGCAGATGTGTGCCTGGGGGAACCTTATGAGAAGCCAGAAGGCTTGAAGTCCCTCAAAGGTGGAGAACTCTATCCCAGTTTTTATGTACATATAAACATGGAGGGTAGAGAGACCAGCTGAGAAAGCTTTGTACAAGCAACCATGGCTGTTTATTCACACCCATGAGTGAAGACTGTTGAGAGAGCAGAATCAGCAGGAAACTAGGGTAAAACTAAGAATTTAAAAGGGAGAGGAAGGGTTGCAGGTGGTGATAGTATGGTTGTTTCCCAAACAAGCAGGACAGATACAAGTGTGGTCCCATTTCTCGGGATGGCAGTGCAGATGGATATTGCTTTGTTCTTCTGTGGTTTCTCACCTTACATGAAGGTGAAGGCCTCACACATATGGCCTGACAACCTATTTAGCTTCCTTAATTTTTATATGAAACTGTGTTCCCTGCACTTAATAATGTAGTTAGTAAACAAGTGTTTGGACCTTTTCATCACCAATAAAAATCACATTATTGTTGGAGATATGCTGAAATACCATTTATGGTCATCATTACTTTGAAATTAAAATTGCGATAAGGCCCTCTAGATGACATTTAATGTAGTAATGAAGATCCACCTATCTTACATTTTGTTGTTTCATATTTATATATTTCTATAAATATCAGTGTAATTTGTTTCCTTCATAATCTTATGTATATTTTTGTATAAATACTATCTTTAAAAAACCCACTATCTGAGCACATAATTGATTTCACCAGGTAGCAAAGGTGTCTGTGGCACACAAAATTAAGACTTCCTGTGACGATTACTCTGGTTCATATGGATTTGCCTGGGGAAGGATAAGGATGGAGTGCAAGAGCAAGAGGGATACATGTCAGGAAGGTTTTGCAGTAATTTAGGTGAAAGATAGTGGCGAGTTGGACTGAGTAGAAAGTGATATGTGGTGGGATTTTGGTGGTTTTCAAGGCTGAACTAAGGAGATTTGCTAAGAGTGAATATATAATATGAAGAAAAAAAATAAATAAGCGCTCCAAGGGGGCCAGGGAGGTGACTCAGTAGGATAAGCACTTGCCTGGCAAGCACAAGGGCCTGAGTTCAACCCCTGGTTCCGCAAAAAAATAAAATAAGGGCTCCAAGGTTTTGGGTCTTTGCACATGGAGGGTAAATCTGCCATTTGCTGAGATGGGGTAGCGTATGTTTGTTAAAGATCAAAAGAGTTTTGGTTAAGTTTGATGTGCTTATTACATGTCTAAAGTGCTGTTTTGTGACTTGGTATTTTCACTTACTATGTCTACATACATATAATTATTAGAATGAGGGCCAGGGATATAGCTCAGTGGCATAAGCGCCTGCCTGACGATTTCAGGGTCCTGAGTTTGATCCCTGGTACTGCAAATAATAATAATAATAATAATAGCTTATTATTATTATTAGAATGAGCTGAACTGGTATATAGAAATAGCTTGAACCTATTTTTGAATATTTGAATGTGTTACAGTGAACATTTAACTATGATACTCATTTAAAAATTCAAAAAGAATGGGCACAATATGTGCTTGTAACTTGTCATTAAGAAGACCAAGTTATGTAAATACCAGTATGGAAAATCTCTAAAGTCTATATCAAAGTAAACCAGAGTAGGAAGAAGAATCAGAGAAATGTAATATTATTAACTTTTAAAGAGAATCTAAGTGAGCAAGGGAATTCCCCTCCCCTCTTCATTTCTTCCTATTTTCTTTCTTTTTTTTTTTTTTTTTGGCAGAACTGGGGATTGTACTTAGGCCCTTGAGCTTGCTAGGCAAGCGCTTATTCTACTGAGCTATCTCCCTGGCCCCCAATTTTTGCTTTTTTGTATGTATTAACTCCATAATATGTCATTGACTCACATGGGGAATGACATTGTGAGCCCTTCAATTCTATGTGTTTGTGTATTTTTTTTATAAACCTTACATTACAGTTTTTTAAATTATGATATATCCAGTGTTAAAATTTAGAGACTTTAAATATAAATGTGAACTGAAGGCAGAAAATCACCTACATAATGTTATATCTTTATTATGAGACTATGTGACTAGAAGAAAAGTTAGAAATAATCATTAAAATGCTGTGGTTGGGTGTTTGGGTTTTTTTTTTAGATAAGAGTTTGATGCAGTTAATGTTTATTTTTTACTCTATTTTTGTAGACAATGAGAAGACAGCGAAATGAAGTGGTAGTTGAATTAAGGAAGGTGAGTTTGGTTACTGTTGATACTTCCAGGCATAATTTAACAACATTATGGCATGTGTAGAAGATATAAAATATATACTGTATGTAAAATAAGTAATTTGCTATGTTACCTATATTTTACTTGCTGAATATAGTTAAGCTTTTTTCAGTTTCAAGCACTCAGCATTTCTTTTTCTTTGAAAGAAGAAAACTTTTACTGAATTTTGAAAGCTGTTGAATTGGCAAGATACAACTACAACTTGTCCACTCTCTAAGAAGACATATACAGCCTAGCAGATATTTTTGTAAGTTTATTTTATAAGAGTAATAGGAACAGTTACACTAAATATTTCTGTTATAACAGAACTGTTCCCTGCAGTTATTTGTAGTTATTCCCTGCAAAGAATTTGTTACTTGAAAATTTTATCAACTCTTCATGTATTAAAGTAGACAGTAGGTGACAATGTACTTATAAAATATTTTCAGCAAAATTCAAAGGGCACTTGAATTTTATAAGGCATTATTGATTTTTGTTTAATTTTAGACTGCCCAACTTTTGTTCTGACGTTGCTTTTAGGTGAGGAAAGACAAGTTCCTAAATGACATATGAAATAATGTTCTTTTAAATGTGAATATTTATGGTTGCTTTTGGCTTAAGCTACACACTTTTTTTCACTCCAACTTTTTTTTTTTTGTATACTTTGTTTCATTAGAAATATAACATTTGTGGATTGGGACTCAAATTAGTGTAAGTTATTTGTTCAGTTCACAATTTGATTTAAATATTTGTATTAGAGTATTACTTTTAAAGTAATACTCTTCATATTTTATTTATATAGGCACAGGATTGGCTTTTATATGACAGTGTTCAGTTAAAAAACTGAAATTCTGTGACTTTTTTTAAAGAATAAAAGAGATGAACATCTCTTAAAGAGAAGGAATGTACCACATGAAGATATCTGTGAAGACTCTGATATAGATGGTGATTATAGAGTGGTAAGTTATTGTATTCAGGTAATTAGAAAATCTCAATCAAAGACTTTAAATAAATATACCATCTAAGGTGACTTTTTAACTTAGTTTTTCTCTGTAATTTTTTTCCCAGCAAAATACCTCTCTAGAAGCTATTGTTCAAGTAAGTTGAATTTTTTTGCCCTTTCTCAAATTTCCAGCACTAGATAACTTATTATTGTGTATCTATATCATAAGCTGGTTTTTTTTTTTCTTTTTTGTGTTTTGTTTTTTATAGAATGCTTCAAGCGATAACCAAGGAATTCAGTTAAGTGCAGTTCAAGCTGCTAGGTAAGTTAAATATGGAAAACAAGTTTAAATTTTACATATTGCACAGTTTGTATCTTGACTTTTGTGGTGTAGTAGTTCTGCCAATCAAATTTAACTTTGAAGACCAGCGAGATAGCTCAGTGGACTAAACACCTGCTTAGGCAAGTGTAGGGACTGGCTTTGATTCCCGGCACCACATGCCACACCGGCCTTGGCCCCGGGCACCCTGAGGAAGCCACTGAGTCCAGGCGTGGTGGTGCACGCATATAATCCCAGTGCTGGGGAGGCTGAAAACAAGAGGATCACTACGAGTCTAAGCTGTGTAATGAGACCTTGTACCTAATACATTAAAAAAATAATAACTTTAATGACAAGGAAATCAAAGACTGAGTTTATTTTAAGAATCCTTTTCTATATTTATAAAATTCATAGCAACTTTAAAACTCATGGGTTTAAATATACAAAATGTATACGCTAAGCTGTCACAAGTTTGATGTGAATATATATGTATATTTAAATTTAATTATAGCATATGCCATTAAATTTCACAAGAGGTGTATATCTTACAGGAAACTTCTGTCCAGTGATCGAAATCCACCAATTGATGACTTAATAAAATCTGGAATATTGCCTATTTTAGTGCATTGTCTTGAGAGAGATGACAAGTAAGAACTTTTTACATTTATTTTTAATTTAGAATGTGTCCTTTGGAGAAGGCAAAATTTTCCAGTATTTAGACTGATTCTTAAAGAAGAAAGGAGAGGGATGAGGATTCGAATTAAAAAGTGAATGTGAATAGCAGTGCAAAGTATGCTAATACCAAAAAATGAAGATTGGGCCAGAGAGAAATTCCAGAATGATAAATTTAATGTGTAATAGTCAGATGTAGTAGCACACACTTGTAATCTTGACACTTGGGAGTCTGAGGCAGGAGGATCACCACCAGTTGAGACTAACCTAAACTGCATAGTGAGACTCTGTTAAAAGATATATATAGTGTAAACTTCGGAATTCAGCAAGAACTGGCTTGACCAGTAGGTACTTGTCCAAAACTGTTTGAAATGAAAAATCTTAATAGAGACATATTACTAAAAATAAAAACATAATAGTTTTTTATGCTGAGAATAGATTTGGGTTTGGTCCCTCCCTTTTTTTTTTTTTTTTTAACCCCTAATACTGGATGGATAGATACCTTTTAGAACAAAATATTTAATACATGCTAGAGGGAGAAATGACTGGTAGATATTTAGGGTATTGTACAACTCTATTGTTGAAAATAATTTGTTATTTTGTAGTCCTTCCTTACAGTTTGAAGCTGCATGGGCTTTGACAAACATTGCATCTGGAACCTCTGAGCAAACTCAAGCAGTGGTTCAGTCTAGTAAGTTGGTTATTAGCAAACAATACTATGATTTTTTTTTAGTCAGTAAAAAATAATTATCCTAAAACTATACAACTGTATTATAAAGTAATAGCTCCCTAATTGAATGTAAATTTCTTAAAGTAACTAATTTAAGTGTATTATTTTAATCTTCTTGTTCTGGTGACTGACCTTTTCTGTTTTGAAAAATTCATTTGATTACAATCTAAAACTGAGACTATTTCTGAATTATAGTAGCAGATTACATTATTGTATTTCATTTTATTTATAGGACATCAGTAGAAATAAGAGTTGTACTATTGCTATACTGTCCAATTTCATTTTCTAATGAAATTTCTGTCATAATATATAAAGAAATCTTCTGTAAACTAGTGCTATTGAAAGAATGGTTTGGAAATCTCTTTCATGTTATTATAATAGGATTGGTTGGGTTTTTTTAACTTGAGTATATCATTGTCTTGTATACTACTTCATTCTTCCACTGAAGAAATTAATAATTTTAAGGAAAATACTTTTAAAATATTTTTAAAATGTAATCAGTATATTGATATAAACTTGTTAAAATCACAAGAACTAAATTACTTCATGATTGGGGGGAAGCACAGAAGTTTTATCCAATTAATAAGCATTTATATTTTAATATGTGTTCTAATATTACATAGAAAAGAAAAATAGGGCCGGCATGTAGCTCAGCAGCACAGTGTCTGCCTGGCATTGGCAAGCGCAAGGTCATGAGTTTGATTCCCAGTACCAAAAAGAAAAATACCTCAACTAGCTAACAGTTTACCCCCAAGCATTACTCAGCAAATTTATTTACATACTTACTGGTCAAGCATGTCATTAAGCCAGTCCATTCTTGTTTGCAAGAGATACACTATATGTCTGTTTGTTTTATGTCAACTATTTTCACATACTTTTTTATTTAGAACACTGTATTCATCACTACTACCACTACCCTTTTTTTTGGCACTGTGAATTGAACTCAATGTATTTGCCTTTGATGTTTGTTTCTAGTGAAATCTAATTATAAGTTTTGGTTCTTTTCTTTTACTAATTTGCATGGATTTTATTTGTGAAAACTAACAATTTTGTGCTGCAATGTATAAAACTTACAAGGACATCAGATATAAATCTTATACTTCTCTAGAACTCAATATTCTTTCACAGTACAAAATGAACACGTTTGGGACTCTAAAATTGAAGGAAGAAAGTACCAAAAGATCTGCAAAACAAAAAAACTGAAAAAGGGAGAAATATTGGCATATCAGAGGGAAAAGTCTGTGTTATGAAATGGAAGGGCAAAAGAAACTCCTTATTGTTAGCTATTCATAGTACAGAAATGATGGAACTTAAAAGAAGAAATGAAACCTCAGTAATTCCAAATTTAGCCAGATGTGGTGGCACACTCCTGTAATCCCAGCACTGAGTCTGAGGCAGAAGAATGCTGAGAGTTCGAGGCCAGCCTGGGTTACCAATGAGTTCAAGCCTGGCTGAGCTACATAGCAAGACCCTGCCTCAAAAAAACTGTTAAAATTTAAAAAACAGTGTTATAATAATCCTGTGTTTGGTGTTGACTTAATATCTAATAGGCTATCCTATAATGAAAAAGTGAGGAAAAAAATATTTATGTACCTTCTGGACCAAACAATATGGAACTCATTTATTCTAAAAAAGTGAATTCAAAGTTATTTATAGGGCCAGTGAGATAGCTCAGTACAATAAGTGCTTGCCTGGCAAGTGCAGGATCCTGAGTTCAGTCCCCAATACCAGAAAAAAAAAAAGTTATTTACAATTTAGATTGAGTCTAATAGACCAAATAATTGAAAAATAAGGGATAGCAAAATGCCAACCAAGATGTCCATCATCGGTGCCTTCACCATTACATTTAATGGATAGACATTTTATTTAAATCATGCCACCCATAGGAAAAAAGACCCACGTAACAGTGTATATTGTTCAAAGAAAGACAGTAATGCAAAAAAGAATTCAGAAAGACTAGATGTTGCAGTCCAGATTGTAACATGGCATTTTGTGTTGAATGTTTTAAGATATACCATACACAAGAAAATTATTGAATAAATTTGATAAAATTTGGCTTTAATATTTCCTGTTTTTTTGTAGTTAAGCATTAAATAAGATTATATAATTACTTTTCTGTATAATGGTCTTAGTATCTCATTCTTTTCTCTATTATGTGATCTTTAAAAGTTAGTAAGAGGCTTCAAGTGTATCACTCTTTAATACCAAAAATAGTAGTGAATTACTTTTTACTTAAGTAAGCATAAACAGCATACACTTAAATAGTAGACCTTAAGTCAGTTTACTTAGTTAAAGGAAGATTAATCTTTTCAGATATACACCTCTCTTTGCCTGTGCTTATTATACAACAGAAATCATTTTAATTCAAAAGGTTTTGTGTGACCCAGGAATCACTGGCCTACCTACCCACATGATGTTAATTTAAGTTTTCATACTCAAAAGCTATTTAAACAATTGGACTTTTCCCCTTGAAACATGAGCATAATTTCTGGTCGTGGTAGCGCACACTGCCTTTAAATGCCAGCACTAGGGAGACTGAGCGAGTCAGGAGGATCAATGTGAGTTCAAGACCAGGCCGGACTTCAAAGTGAGCCCAAAACCAGTCTGAACTGCTTAGCAAGACCCTGTCTCAAAAAGACAAAAAAAGCCTTGAGGACAAGAATTTGTAAGGAATTAAGATTGGAATTCAGTTGGAGCTAGGGGCGTAGATCAGTGGTAGTGACTGTGCTTCGTATGTGCAAGGCTTGGGGTTCAATCTCCAGTGCAGCCTTCCCCCCATTAGAATCAAGTCCAAGTTTAATTGTGCATGAAATGTTGCCTAATTTGACGTTTGTCTACGTTATTTTGATACTAGTGTGCTGGTCAAAATTCTTCTAATGATGCTGCTCTAATAATCATTTAATGAGGGTATACTTTCATTATTGTTTGGTAAGCCTCTTATTTCTGAGATAGCAATTTTGATTGATTAGGTGTTAACATGTTCTCCCTTTAGATGCTGTGCCACTCTTCCTGAGGCTTCTCCATTCACCCCATCAGAATGTCTGTGAGCAAGCTGTGTGGGCACTGGGAAATATCATAGGTTTGTATAAAATTTGTAATCCAACAATTGTTGCAATCATATATTGGGTAATAAAAATAATTACTAGTAGTCTAGAAGGAAGAGCAGTTTATATCACTACTAGTTTTTGTGAAGTAGCTTACAGAAATTTTAACTATATTTAACTGTGTAAGTATAAAGTAGTAATAAAAGGGACATTTTGTTTTTTTAAAAAAGTCTTAATTACTTGAGGAATTATGAAATATGTGTGTAGTTTAGATCTTTTGTTTTGTACTGGAGTCTTTTTTTATTTCTCAGCTTTCTCTATCACAGAAAATATTAACAAAAAAGAGGAGAAAAAACTTAAATCAATAATTTTGCACCATAATAGCAGTTCTGAGAAGAATTCAAAATGAAAATATTTGTTTTACATACTTTTGTACATTAAAATTTATTAATGAATAAAATACAGTAATAGGGCTGGGGAGATGGCTCAGTAGAATGAGCGCTTCCCTCGCAAGCGCAAGGGCCTGAGTTTAATCCCCGGTTCCGCAAGGAAAAAATACAGCAGTATTCCCCATTCATGAATTGACAGGAAGTATCTGTAGCCTATTTATCATCTAAATAGTGTCACAATTATGTCTTCCAAATTTTTTTTGTATTATAGAAAGGATAAAGAGACAATGCTTAGAGGTTAAGGATTTGTGAGAGGGTTTTTTGTTTGTTTTGCGGTACCGGGGATTGAATTTAGGACCCTGCGCTCGCCAGGCAAATGCTTATTCTCTACTGAGCTATCTCCCTGGCCCCACCAGATTGAATCTAAGATTTTCACATTAAGCAATATTCCCAGCCCCCTTTACCTCTTCTTTTAAAGTTTTGCCCAGTATATTATGACTGGATGACAGTTTAATTTGTATAATATCCTTCCCTTTCGATAGTTGGTTTTTTTATACTATATGATAATGTTTTGCTTTTTTTAGTTTCTTAAGTACTGGGACTCAAACCCCAGACCTTTACAATGAAGGACATCTCCTTCCCCTTTTTATCTTTTATTCTGAAACAAGGTTTCTCTAAATTGCTAAGTTGCCCAGAGTGGCCTCAAATCTGCCATCCTTCCTGCCTTAGCCTCCCAGATTACTGGGACAGGCATGCATCTTGTACCTAGCTTTCTAGACATTCTTATGTGGAAGCATTTAGTATTGTACTGATACACTTTTTTATTATCCTTCAACTGGAGCGACATGGAAGATGGGATGATAATGAGTTTTTATTAGAAGATTGCTCTATAAACTATTTCTGGCTAATATTACTATTAAGAATTACATTATATTATCCCAGGGTTCTCACTCCTTCACTTACATACCAAATTTTAGAATTAATTCAAATGTATGGCTGCAAAAACACTAAGCATCTTACCCTGAGATACTATAGTACAAGGAAAAGTCTTTTCACTTTTGATAATAGTTCAGCATGGCTTCATACTAGACATTACACTGACAATGTAGATATGAAAATTAAGTTTGATGGTTGTCTATACCACCGGTCCTCAAATTTTAGTATGTTATCACAGTCATTTGAAGAGCTTCTTACAACAGAATCCTGGCCCCAGAGAGTTTATGCTTTAATAAGTCTGAGCTCAAGCCCAAAAATCACGTTAAAAAATACTGTTCTGTTAATGTTTAGTTCTCTTTTTTCTGAATATATAATTTATAGTTCATATTCTGATACTCTCATGAGACTGTAAGTAAAATTGTACAAGTACTTTTTAGCAGTATTTTGACTTTTTTTATATGACAGTTTTTTAAACATGGTCATTCAGACAGAAAAGTATCAGTTCTCCAGTCATGGTATTTTTTTAAATTTAAAAATGCTTGGGGAACCGGAGAGATGGCTCAGTAGAATAAGAAGGGTCTGAGTTCAATCCCTGGTTCCACAAAAAAAATAAATAAATAAAAATAAATAAAATGCTTGGGCCAGGCAGATGGCTTAGTAGAATAAGTGCTTCCCTGGCAAGTGCAAGGGCCTGAGTTTAATCCCCAGTTCTGCAATAAATAAATAAATAAATTTAAAAATGCTTGATTTGTTTCTGTGGTCAAATCAATGTAGGTAGCATCTTAGGTATTTAATACAGTATTGCGTCTGTACAAATGGGGAAAAATTGTTTTAATATTTCTAGACCAATATGACTTAATTTTTTGGTACATTGCCAACTCAACCACAATTTTCTTTGGGGTGTTTTTATTTTGTTATTTTGTTTTGCTTTTTGAGAAACAGGATCTCACTATATAGTTTTTAGGCTGGCCTGTAACTCACTGCATAACCAACCCACACTGGCCTTGAACTCATAGCAGTCCTCCTGCCTCAGCCTCCCAAGTGCTGAGATTACAAACATGTACCCCCACACCAAGTTTAGATGATTTAAGCACATTTCATAAGTAAGTTTACAAAACTAAAAATGAGAATTTTATGCAGAATACCTTAGCGCCTAATGCACTAACTTCTCTTAGTTCAAAGACTGTGAATTTAATTGTTAAATTCCTAAACTTAAATGTAAAACTAAATATATGGTCTTAATTGAAAACCAAAAACAACATAGTATACCCAATACTTTTTTATGTCCTGAAAGTGCTTATTGTTGATTTATTTGGTTATCAAACTGATGTTTTCTACAGGTGATGGACCCCAGTGTAGAGATTATGTCATAAGCCTTGGAGTTGTGAAACCTTTACTTTCATTCATAAGTCCATCTATTCCTATAACATTCTTAAGAAATGTTACTTGGGTTATGGTCAACTTATGTCGCCACAAAGACCCACCACCACCAATGGAAACCATTCAGGAGGTAAATAAGTGTTTTTTTAAAAAAGTAAAATAGGTAACTGTGTGTGTGTCTTTATGTGTATTTTATTTTTTTCTTTATGTGTATTTTAAATTTGTATATTTTTCTCTTCAGATTCTTCCAGCCCTTTGTGTTTTAATCCATCACACAGATGTAAATGTGAGTAAATATCCTTCTTGTATTTTTAAATATATTCATGTATATAGGGCTCCACCTGTGACACAGAGGAGGAAATATAATTCAGTAAAGTTTGTTACCAAGTTGCCAATTAGTGATTCTGTTGCTAAGATCATGTCTTTTTTTTTTTTTGTGGCAGCTTATTTTGGCAACCTGGCTGTTGAGACCACATAACCGTGGTAGTGTTTTTCAGTATGAGATCAAGAACTATTTGATTACATGTATGAAATTATATTCATATGCATATGCCAAATCATTTATTTCTCCAAGTTGTAATAGCTTTCAGCTTTATCTAGTATAGAGACAGCTATTAATTATACAAACATGGGAAAACATTTAGTAATGACACAATTTTAACGTCACAAATTTATATTGTTTATTCGTATTAACACATTTGACAAAGGAAAAAGTAAGTGAAAGAGTGAAGTAGAAAACTGCCCTGTGTGCTTATAAAAGCCAGGCTACCCATTGAAGTGTCAGAAAAACAAACTAGGAACATATCTTAGTGGTTAGAGCCTTTGTCTGGCATAAGCAATGCATTCAATCCCAGTACCATCAAAACAATAAATAGGTAGATAGTAGGTAGGTACTAGAAGTCAGACATGGGGGTGCACACCTGTAATCCCAGCACTCTAGGAGGCTAAGGCAGAAAGATTGTAAGTTGTAACTCATTCTGGGTAATTTAGTGACTTAGCAACCCTTGTCTCAAAACTTTAAAAAGAATAATAAAAAAATAGCTTGGGGGTGTAGCTCAGTGCAAAAGCCCTAGATTCAATCATAGTACCTTGAGGGGGCAGGGGAGTGAGAAAAGAAACTGGAAGTATAATGGGTGAAGGAAAACACATGACTTGATATATAATAACAGTCAAAAACTTGTATAGTTCTTTGAAAATAGTTTGACAACCATGAACAGTGTGCTAAAAAGGCTGAGCCTTGACTTCTTAAGTCCAGAAGTTGACATAAGACCTGGTGTTTTTTTACAAAATAAGTATGTTCCCCAGTGTTTGAGGTGCTGTGTTTCTGTAGTTTCTAGGTCTGTAGTTCTGATGAAATCTCCTTAAAGCATGTATAGATAATCTAGAATTTTAAGTATATATGACAGTTTTTGGTTTGAGCTCCTTATAGCAGAACTATTTGAGTTATAAATTTTAATATTTTGCTTTTGAAAGATTTGCAGGAAGGATTAATTTCAAAGCTTATTTATCTATTGGCAAATTGGATACCTTATTTAACTTTAAAACTGTATTCTTTAGGGGCCAGGGAGGTAGAATGGAGCCTGAGTTTAATCCCTGGTTCCTCAAAAAAAAAAAGTATTCTTTCTACATGTTTATCCCTGTCTAGAAGAGATGGTGACTATTCTTCTTACCTTTGATACAGCTTAAGGACTTTCACATACTGCATTCTTTTTAGTAAAAAATATTGTTTACATTTTTAGTAAAAAAATTGATGTTTAAAATCTTAGATGAGCAGTCATAGCAGATTCTTAAATTAGGCCACCAGAGAAATTCTAAAAAATTAGTACTGTTGACAAAACATAAGTGAAATGCTGTTATTAGACTGTACTTAGAAAACTTACCATAGAATATAAATTTTATCTGATAATATAAGAAAGATCTAGGTTGAGGTATAATTTGAGTTCGGTCTCATTAATGACGTATTTAGCAATGGGCATTTTAAGAAATATATCAAGTTTTTGTGTACAGTCATAAGTAACTCAAGGGGTTGAGAGTATGGCTCAGTGGTAGAACACTTGTAAAACATGTGTGAGGCCCTGGGTTCCATCCTTAGCACCACAAAAATAAAGCAATGATAACTATAATTAATTTGATTTGTTTTCCTATGTTAACCAGTTTTAGCATACTCAAATACTCCAGAAAAAGGATTGCATTTGCACATTGAAATTTACTTGTTTTACATAATATCTATATTTTGTGTGAAATCTTTTACTTAACATCTTTTTATTTTAAAACTATCTTTAACACTTTCTGGAATTTCTGAAAGAACAATGATAAAGTAATGTTTTACCTTGATAGAGTCTTTGTTCCAGAAAGGCTTTGGAAGTAAAGTTCCAAACAGTTACTATTTCTGTGGGTTGTATCAATAATTATATTATTTAAATTTGACAGTGTAATAGTTGTTTGTTATACTACTTTTTGGCCATAACTTCTGATTAGGATTTAAATCAAAGATCAAACATATGACCTGCTGTATACTTCAAAATATAATCATTTTAAAATTATAGGCTATTTTGTGTACTATAAGTTACAGAAGTGGCTTCTTTTATTTTAAGAAACAGTTCTCACTAAGTTGCCTGGGCTAGGCTTAAGCTTGTGATCCTCCTGCATCAGCCTTCCAGTGTGCTGGGAATACAATTTTGTCATCACTTTTGGTTTGCCTCCAGTTTTATAAGTCAAGGCAAACTGGGCAGTGAAGATGAAATGACTAAAATAGTGATAACTGATTTATTGTCTTCTAATAGTACTGATGAAGGGCCCGGCAGATGGCTCAGTAGAAAAAGCGCTTCCCTGGCAAGCGCAGGGGCCTGAGTTCAACCCCCAGTTCCGCAAAAATAAATAAATAAAACCTGCACCAAATAAAATAAGCAAACAAACAAATATATAAGCTAATAGTACGATGATAGCAGAGAATTCTTTGAATATAGTCTAGATAATTTCAAACCACTGTGCATGTTGAAAATATTTAGTTTTCCCAACCATATACATCAGCCATGATGTCATTGCACCTATTACGTCTCAGCCTGAGCATGTCAGAAAGGTTTTTTCTCCCTCTTATTTCATGTGGTATGAGGTATATGTAACTTAGTGAAAAGATTGAATACCAATCTGGGATTAGAACCATAATTAACCAAAATTCCAGTGAATTGAGGTAAGAGAAGAAATGAAGTAGGATAATAAAATAATCATACATTGGTTGTATGTTTTAGGAATTACTCAAATGAAAGGGGACGCTAGAAGGATTAAGATGTGCTATGTATATGTACCAACTACCAACAATGAATATATTCATTATGCACTGCAAACCTGTACTGATAAAACTTAAAGAAACAGACCTTAAAATGAGGGAATATTCAAACACTTTGAATTTTCATTTTATTTACTAGATATTGGTAGATACAGTTTGGGCCTTGTCTTACCTTACGGATGCTGGCAATGAACAGATACAGATGGTAATAGATTCTGGAATAGTTCCTCATTTGGTTCCACTACTCAGCCACCAGGAAGTTAAAGTGCAGGTAAGTTTCTTAATAAATGTTTTTCTTATGACTAGTTGCTTTTAACATGGCTGTGAAATGATTTCAGTAGTTCAAAGTATATTCTTAATATCAGATGTGTTAACATCTGAGATGGAAATCCCTGTTCTAAAAAGGGGAAAAATGGAGTACTGCAGTTCAATAAGAGCCTGTCAAGAAAGGGCTAGGTTGGCAGTTCCATGCATTGATTTCTGATATAGATCACATAATTCAGTATGGCAACATGGGTGACAACTGAAATGAGTGTTGACTTTTTTCATGTATAATTCTCTTCTCTCTGCCCACAATCCCCAAACTATCTTTTTTTTTTTTTTTTACTCACCTAGCAGTTAACGTTCAGATTTACTGACACTGAGATAAAGGCTTTCTACTAAAATATATGGTGAGGGCCAGCGAGATAACTCAGCAGACTTAAGTACCTGCTTAGACAAGCACAGGGACCAGGGCTCAATCCCCAGCAACAGATGCTGAGCCAGCCACCAAGCCTGGGTGTGGTGGCGCATGCCTGTAATCCTATCTCTGGGAAAGCTGAAAACAGGAGGCTTACTAGGAGTCTGAGCTGCATAGTGAGACCCCTGTACCAAATACATTAAAAATAATAAAATATATTGTGAAATTGTTTCATTCATTCAATCATTCATTGGTACCAGTAATTGAACTCAGGACCTTGTGCTTGCCAGGCAGGCACTTATGCCACTGAGTCATCTCCCCAGTTTAAATTATTTTATACTTTTGTTTTAAATCCTTTATAAAGTATGTCATAAAGTATTTAATAGAAATATTAAAGTAATACTTCAATATTTACAGTATATGTAGTGGACCTTCATCTAATAAAAGCTAAAAAAATGAAAATTATAAATGTAAAAGGTACTATCAAATTACAGGGGCCCCAGGAGATGGCTCAGTGGAATAAGCACTTCCCTGGCAAGTGCAAGGGCCTGAGTTCAATCCCCGGTTCTGCCAAAAAAAAAAAAAAAAAATTACAATGGTACAAGGAGATGCAGCAAGCTCTCCTTATCTTTCTGAGATACTGTATTTTAATTGACAATGACTTAGAGTTTATAAAGTAATACAATAACGTAACAAAGAGTATTAACCAAAAAAAAAAGAAAAAGTATTAAACTAAATCACTATTTTGTAGTGTTATCTGAATATTAAAATTGTGAAACTTAAAATTTTTTTTAAAAAATTGTTTTTACAACTCCTAAAAATTCTGTTTTAATAAAACCTGGATATTTTCTAGAACTTGCGGTTTACAAAATTCCTGTTCAGGGCTGGCATGGTGGTACACACCTGTAATCCCAACACAATTAGAGGTTGTGGCAGGAAGTCTCAATCTGGGAAATTTAGTGAGACTCTTTCTCCCTAAAAAAAAATTTTTTAAGGGCTGAAGATGTAGCTCAGTGTGAAGGTCCTAACCGACTCAGTCCTCAACGCCAATGAACAAACGGAAAACTCCCTCTTGGGTGCTAGTGAATTAAAATACTTTAAAGAGTCAGCACTTAGCTAAATTCAGAATGAATTAATTAATGGAGAGTTTGTCATTCAGAGATATTTGTGACGTACTTTAAACGTGCTTGCTATATGTTTATATTGAGTTTGCATTTCTAAAGTTTGCTACTTAAGTCTTATCTGGGCTGTGGAGTGATTTTTGGGTTTCCTTTCAGAATGCATCTTCAGGTTTAACTGGACTTCAACTTAGGGCTTGAGAAAGTAGAGTTTAGAATTTTTCTTTATGTAGGGCTCAATGAAACATATTTATAGAATTATAATAGCCAGCAAGCAATTCCATTTTCTGTGTGTATATGCAAGAGAACTGAGAACATGTCAGCACAAAAAGTTGTACTTAATTGTTCATAGAAGCCTTATTCATAATATCCAAAAAGTAAAAACAATCGAGATGTCCATCATTTAATGAATGGCTAAATAAAATGATACAACCATGTAATAGAATACTATTTGACCATAAAAACAAATGAAGTACTGATACATAATATGAACTTGTTTCTGGTGTATAGAATGTTCAGGATACACAAATTCATAGACATAGTCATAGTGGTTGCCACAGACATGGGGAGAGGACAGTGAAGGTGACAATTAGTGGATGCATATATTCTTTTGAAGATGATGAAAATATTCCAGGATGAAATGGTAATAATGGTTGTGCAACTTTTATTATACAGTAAATACGGAATTGTACTATATATGTATATATATTTTTTTCTCCTTTTTTTTTTCTTTTTTTTTTTTTTTTTTTACAGAACCAGGGATTGAACTCAGACCCTTGCGCTTGCCAGGGAAGCACTTATTCTACTGAGCCATCTCCCCGGCCCCTTGGAATTGTACTATAAAAAGATGATTGTTTTAGAAACATGTGAAGTGTCTTATACAATGCTTAATTATAAAAGCTCTGACTTAGCAGAACATTACTCAATGTAACTATAGAAAAACAATTGAAATTTTATGATAGTGAAACCTCATGTCAAGCAGATTTCTATTTTTATTTTAAAGAGTATAAACAAAAAAGCATAAGTAGCAAAAACAGTAATGCACATAAATATAAGTGATACAGATTTTCAAAACAAGAATAGCAAATTAACAGTGGTTATATTATGTATTTTTATTGTCAAATCTGTTGCTCAGATTAACATATAGGTATGCAAGACTGGACAAATAATTGAATGCTTGCTTTTCAATAAACCTTAATTTTTTTCTTGTCCCTTTTACATATTTTTTTAAATTTAAAGAGTATAATCCTAATTGATAAGACATTAGAAGTGGTTCACATTGAGAAGAACAAGATGAGAGGTATTCAGTCATGGTTTTTGTATTGCACATTGCTGACTTCGATGGAGTTGCTCATATTTTTATTTTTTTAAATCTAATATACTATCCTATTTTCTTTATGGCACCAGTTGCTGTCTCACATTATCCTTCTTTGTTTATTGACAGTCTTCTCTAACTTAAACTATGTTGGGGCCAGGGAGATGGCTCAATAGAATAAGCACTTCCCTGGCAAGTGCAAGGCCTGAGTTCAATCCCTGTTTCTGCAAAAAAAATTTAAAAAAAATAATAATAATAATTTAAACTATGTCATGCTTAATTCCTGTGATAACTATAAACACATTTGCTTTGGAGGTTAGGCCAAGAGAATCTCAAGTTCTGTGCCAACGTGGGCAATTTAGCAAGACCCTGTTTCAAAATAAAGGATTGTGCATTTAGCTTAGTGGTAGAGCATGTACCCTCGCATGTACAGGATACTGTGTTCAGTCCACACAGCCACAGATAACAAAAACTAATTAAGATCTATAATTTGTATTCTTATACCTCTGTTCCTAAGGCAGTGTCTGGCACGAGGTAAGTACTCAAATAAGATAGGTTTATTGGAATAAAAAAAAAAAATGCATGAATGAGTACATCTATCTTTAGTAATTACCCAATATAGCTTTTTAAATAGTGAGTACTTCACATTGAATAACATCTCATTAAATGTTTTTACATTTCAGACTGCTGCGCTTCGAGCTGTGGGCAACATTGTTACAGGAACTGATGAGCAAACACAAGTAGTTTTGAACTGTGATGCTCTTTCACACTTTCCAGCACTCCTGACACATCCCAAAGAGAAAATTAATAAAGTAAGTATTTATAAAATTAGGGCCCCAAAAATATCTGTGAGAAAATATTTTACAACAAAGGTTGATGTGTGATTTTTCCATATATAAAACAAACCAGTACAAAGTGCTTTCTTTTTATTTGGCATTGCTAAGAACTGAACCTAGCACCTCATGTGTGCTAAACACATGATACATTACTCAACAACATCCTCATCAGTGCAGTGTGTTTTTTGGCTCTTTCGGAAATGATGAAATAGAGATGCTTGGGTGTTGAATGTTGCGTGACTGAAAATTTTAATATTTAATTCTTCTAGTTAAATATTTTAGTTAGATAATAGAGTGTGTGTGTGCGTGTGTGTGCTTGTGGTGGCTATGGAAAGGGGGCACTGAATGGTGATGCTGATATTGGAGTGCATCTGAGGCTGTTGTAGAAAATAACATGGGTTGTTGATTACAACATTGCCTGTGATTATAACCCAAGAACAGCTCACCTAACTAGCCTGGCACCCTGAAAATCTCTAACAGGTTCAGTATACATGATCCTGTGATCTGATCCAAGAGCCTAGTATATACTAGCCAATACTAATATATTTTTAAGAGTAAAAGTTGTTTTTACCAATTTTAGAACTACAAAAATTGTTAGCCTTTAGTAAATTGATAAATTCTAATAATATGCATAGCATATTAGGGAGATACTATGTCTCGCTTCTTGGTAACTGTGGCTTTAGTAAAGCCATTTCTAACTTTGAAACTTGTAAAATACTTGAAACTACCATCATCATCTTGGAAAACATTAGCACTGTTGTGTAAAATACAGCATTAAAAGTTCATTAGGATAGACCAATACGGGCCAGGGAGATGGCTCAGTGGAATAAGCACTTCCCTGGCAAATGCAAGGGCCTGAGTTCAATCCCCCATTCTGCCAAAAAAAAAAGTAAAACTAGTTTATTGGAGCCGGGGAGATGGCTCAGTGGAATAAGTGCTTCCCTGGCAAGTGCAAGGGTCTGAGTTCAATCCCCGGGTCCGCAAAAAAAAAAAAAAAAAGGATAGACCAACACAGCAATCAAGCACTGGTTCCACTTTATTTAGCTCTTGAGAGAACTGATACAGTGAAGTATGTAAGCATACTAGCTAGGCACAGCAGTGATGCACACTGTGTAGTTGCAACTACTCAGGAAAAGGAAGGAAAATTAAAGGTACAAGGTCAACATAGGCAACATAGCACAATCTCATCTCAGAACAAAATATAATTATACTAAAATAAGTCGCTATTTCACTTTTGATGTCTCCATTGTCTTCAATAATTATTATTTTGCCTATAATTCTTAATTGGGGTAGAATACAGAGAATAAAGTCCTTAACTAAATGTGAGAAAGGGCAGTGAAACTCATTACAATAGTTTGAAGGTCTGTGTATCTATCAAAGCTCATCAATTCCTCAATATTTGTTCATCCAAGATGCTTTTGAGTTTGGAACCTTTGCCTTCAAAAATTATTTTAGGAAGAAAGAAATACAGAGATATATATGCAAGATAACTAAGATAATTGTACTATTAATTAGTTCATTTAAAAGGATAGTGTTTATATTGTTTGATCAGTCTTACATGCCTATATCTGATAATTTGAGCAACTTGAGCAACTTCTTTAAAGATAACTATGCTGGCCAAGCATTGGCCGTGACTCATCCACATGGCTGACACTGACAAAGGTTCTACAATCTGA